GTTAAAGATCCCGTAGTTAACAAATCATGCGAATAAAAGATGACAAATCTCCTCTGTATACTAGCTGCAAACACAAATTATGATTTCTTCTGTATATGACCGGCGTAAGACTCGTGCATTGCCTTTCCAATGACTCCTTTTACGTTCTCAGCCTACAAATATTCACTTAATCATTTGGTGCGCTGAATAATGTAAGAAGAACCACACCTTTTTCTTTTCTTCTTTGACGTGTTCTACTCTCTGCTGGATTTTTTCCAAAGAATTATCATGCACTTTTCTGACCTAAAACTCGAGAATATCAGTTGAAAAAAAGATTTAATCTTTGTCAATAGTTGCAGTAATTCTTACGTCTCCACTTGGATAGAGCCTTTTCAGCGATTCTTTAGGGGCTTTTACTTCATCGATGGTGGACGCTTTTAGCTGAAGTACTATATTCAAGAAAGTTGACAATCATTTCAAATTCAACCAACATTTTTGCTGTGTTCAGCAATTTTTTTCTCAGCTTGTTTGCCTTTCCTTTCCGCTTCGATAACCTGAATAAAGGTTTTTTGCTGTTTCTCTTGAAAAATCAATAAAGAAAGTATAAACAATGAGATTTGCTCTTTTACACAACTACCAACATTTATGCAAACCTCTTTAGCAACTGCCTTTTTCTTGTTGAGTCCTTTGCCAGATTCATCTATCTTCTTGGAGTGAATATTTCTTGCACTCACGCAGGCTATCAATCCTCTTCTAGCTTGAACGATATTCGCAAATCGTATAATCATTCTGACAGATGGGAACCATAGGACTTTTCATTTCATCAAACGAGTGGAATGAAGAGGTTCAAAACTGCTCCATAGTTATATGATATCAATCAGAGTTGCTATTTGAAAACAGTTTCAAATTCATCCTTTTGAGAGAAATGCGTGTAGATGGTAGTTTTGATAACTTTTGAGAGGCACTAGCATTCCAAATTTAATAGATACAGTTCTGCTTAATAAATCAGCGTGCACACATGAATAAGTGGGATAATAGTATTTCACCCAGATAAACACTGGGGAAGCCAATGGATGTGACCGTAAAACTGGCATAAAACTGTTCGTGCAAAAATTAATTTCAATAAACCTGGATGATCATAAGTGGTTTAGGGATGTTTGGTTCCCTTCAAGCTTTCATGTTCTATATCATACATCATTAATAAATACACACAGGGGTCGAAAACAGAGCAGAGAGTAGCGAAAAACCGAGCGGCTGACGACCGTCAACACGCCCGCAGTCAATAAATATCTCGTGTCCCATAGATGTTTACTCCGAAACACAACATGGCGAATGAATCAAATCACTTGTAATCGATTTTACAATAAAATTTTAATTGTTCAGTCGTTCCAGAACTAATAAAATTTCGATAATAATGAATAATAATCAAATAATCAAATAATAATAAATAAATTCTTTAAAAAGTTTTCCAGTTTTTTCACTTTACTGTGGCACAGTGGCTTCGCCTCCTATAATTCTAATCTCTATCGAACAGATCCAGAGCGCAAAGTATCAGTCGTGGTTTTTTAAGTAGGTTTAGAAATCAGTGCATGAGTTCAACTTATGACAGGTTAAGTT